CCTAATTTCTTTCATGGAGGGTTCCCGGAGAAGGGACTCTCCCGCAGATCTCAAAGGGCGGTCGGGCATATACGGACGTAAGGGCTCGTTCAGGTAGCCAGGACCCAAGCCGTTTATGGCTTTATAGGTCATAACCAGCACCTTGAATTGGGCTCCGGCTTCAATGGGAAGCCAGTAAAGCTGACGGAGGACTGGAGTCATCTGAGCATAACGTCCCGTCCCCGTCAGCAGCCTGGCAGCTCTATTTTGCACCAATTGAAGTATCCGGACCGTCTTCAAGGGTAGCCCCACGTAAAGCGCGTTACAGAAGTCTAGGCAGGAAGTCACCAGCGCGTGTGTCACCGTCGCCAGGCAGTCGTACTCCAGGTAGGGGCGCAGCTGATTAATCAGCCGAAGCTGAAGGAAGGCGCTCCTCGCCACCGCTGTCACCTGAACTTCCAAAGAAAGCTCTGGGTCGAGGAGTACTCCTAAACTGCGGACCTTGTCCCTAAGAGGGAGTGTTGCACCATTCAGGACCAAGTCAAATCCACCCTCTCCGAAGCCCGATCCGCCAACCAACAGGACCTCCGTCTTGTCTGGATTGAGTTTCAGTTTATTGGCCCTCATCCATTCCATTACCTTGGCCAAACACCGGTTCAGCACAGCCACTGCCTCACCTGGATTAGTGGAAAACGAGAGGTAGAGCTGGGTATCATCAGCGTATTGATGATTCCGCAGCCCACACCTCCTGATGACCTCTCCCAGCGGTTTCATGTAGATGTTAAACAGCAAAGGGGACAAAATGGAGCCCTGTGGTACTCCATGGCATAGCTGCCATGACGCAGAGACATGGTCCCCCAGCACCACCTTCTGGAATCGGCCATTGAGATAGGAGCGGAACCACTGCAAAGCAGTGCCTCCGACCCCCAATCCCGCTAGCCTATCCAGAAGGATACCATGGTCAATGGTATCGAAAGCCGCCAAGAGGTCCAGAAGAACCAACAGGAATGCACTCCCCCGTCCTTCTCCCTGCACAGGTCATCGTACAGGGCGACCAAAGCAGATTCAGTACTGTACCCGGGTATGAAGCCGGACTGAAAAGGATCCAGATAATCAGTTTCATCCAAGAGTGCTTGGAGTTGTCCCGCCACCACTTGCTCCAACACCTTGCCCAGAAACGGGATGTTGGCCACAGGTCTATAGTTAGTGGCCATCTCTGGATCCAGTGACGCTTTCTTCAGGACCGGTCGTATTACCGCCTCCTTTAAAGGGGCAGGCACTCGACCCTCCCTCAGAGAAGCGTTAACCACTTCCAAGATCCAGGTCCCAATCCCGTGCTTGGAGTTATTTATTAACCAAGACGGGCAAGGGTCCAATAGGCAAGTGGTGGGACGTACTCGTCCAAGCACCTTGTCCACATCATCAGGCCGCAATAACTGAAATTCATCCAATAATTCCGGACCAGATGGTGACATTGGCACCTCCCCAGAAGGTTCTGAGTCACTAGTGGAGTCCAGCTCATGACGAATCTGAGCAATTTCCTCCTTGAAATGCTTGGCAAAGTCGTCCCAGTGGGCTGTCGAGGGTGGCATGGGATCTTTCTTGGGGCCTGGCTGTACCAGCCCCTGTACCACCTGAAAGAGCTCCGCTGGACGGCACTGTGAGGAGGCAATGGAAACGGAGAAGAATTTCTTCTTCACCGCCCTCACCGCCACAGCATAGGCTTGATAGTGAGCTCGTAAGCGTGTTCGGTCAGATTCATCCCGTGATCTCCTCCACCTATGCTCTAGCTGTCTCCCAACCTGCTTCATCGCTCGCAATTCAGGTGTATACCAAGGGGAAGAGCGGACTCTGTCCGGTGGGAGAGGACGCTTGGGAGCGATCGTGTCCACAGCCCTGGTCATCTCTCCGTTCCACAGTTTGACCAGAGCCTCGACAGGAGCACCAGTCTTGTCAGCCGGAAACTCCCCCAGGGCCTTCAGGAATCCATCCGGATCCATCCGGCTCTGGGGGCGGGCCCATACAATCAGGTCCACACTCTTATAGAGGGAGAGGCCGCTCTTGAGCACAAACCTCACCAGGAGGTGATCTGACCATGACAGGGGAGTCAAACATAAGTTCCTCACCCTCAGGTCATCCTCTTCCTGCCCCGTCTAGAAAACCAGGTCCAGAGTGTGTCCACGTTCATGGGTCGGGCCGATGACGTGTTGAGACAGGCCCATGGCCATCATAGAGGCCATGAAGTCCTGAGCCGCCCCGGTCAGTCCAGACTCGGCATGGAGATTGATGTCCCGCAGGACCAACATCCTGGGGGTCCTCAACACCAGGTCCGAGACGGTCTCCGTCAGCTCAGGCAGGGAGACTGTTGGGCAGAAGGGTGCACGGTACACCAATAGAATCCCCAATCTGTCTCGTTCGCCCAACACCAAGTAGAGGCACTCCAGCCCTGGTCTCGAAGGGACCGGAAGACCCGTGAGAGAGATGGAGGCTCGGTAAACCAACGCGACTCCCCCTCCCCTCCCTTCTGGGCGTGAACAGTGTTGAACCAGATACCCAGGGGGCACAGTTGAGAGAGGGCAACATCCCCCCCCCTCCCGCCCAGGTCTCCGTTATGCAAGCCAGGTTGGCCCCCTCATCCACAATCAAGTCATGGATGAGGGAAGATTTAAATAGATTTAAGGAATTAGATCTGATAGATAGAGTGCCGGAAGAAGTATGGATGGAGCTTTGCAACATTGTACAAGAGGTAGCAACTAAAGCCATCCCAAAGAAAAAGAAATGCAAGGAAGCAAAATGGCTGTCTGAGGAAGCTTTACAAATAACTGAGGAAAGAAGGGAAGTGAAAGGCAAGAGAGAAACGGAAATATATACCCAACTGAATGCAGAATTCCAGAGAATAGCTAGAAGAGATAAGAATGCCTTCTTAAATGAACAGTACAAAGAAATAGAAGAAAACAATAGAATAGGGAGGACCAGGCATCTCTTCAAGAAAATTGGAGATATGAAGGGAAGGTTTCATGCAAAGATGGACATGATAAAGGACCAAAATGGCAGGGACCTAACAGAGGCAGATGAAATTAAGAAAAGGTGTCAAGATTACAGAGAAGAGCTATACAAGAAAGAGCGTAACGTCCCTGATAACCACGATGGTGTGGTCACTGACCTTGAGCCAGACATCCTGGAATGTGAAGTCAGATGGGCCTTAGGAAGTTTGAGCAACAACAATGCTAGAGAAGACAGTATTCCAGCTGAGCGCTTCAAAATCCTAAAAGATGATGCTACACTCAATATGCCAGCAAATTTGGACAACTCAACAGTGGCCACAGGATTGGAAAAGGTCAGTTTACATTCCAATCCCAAAGAAGGGCAATGCCAAAGAATGTTCAAACTACCGCACCATTGCTCTCATTTCACATGCTAGCAAAGTTATGCCCAAAATCCTACAAGCTGGGCTCCAGCGGTATGTGGACCACGAATTACCAGAAGAACAGACAGGATTTCGAAGAGGCAGAGGGACTAGAGGTCAAATTGCCAACGTACGCTGGATCATGGAGAAAGCCAGGGAGTTCCAGAAAAACATCTACTTCTGCTTCATTGACTACGCTAAAGCCTTTGATTGTGTGGATCACAACAAACTGTGGCAACTTCTTAAAGAGATGGGAGTACCAGACCATCTTATTTGTCCCTTGAGAAACCTATATGCAGGGCAAGAAGCAACAGTGAGAACTGGACACGGAACCACTGATTGGTTCAAAATTGAGAAAGGAGTTCGGCAAGGCTGTATATTGTCCCCATGCCTATTTAACACTTGAAGAGCATATTGTGAGAAAGGTGGGGCTAGATGAATCACAAATTGGAATTAAGATTGCCAGGGGAAATTTCAACAACCTCAGATAAGCAGATGATACCACTCTAATGGCAGAAATTGAAGAGGAACTAAAGAGCCTCTTGATGCGGGTGAAGGAGAGTGCAAAAGTTGGCTTGAAACTCAACATTAGGAAAACTAAGATCATGGCCTCTGGTCCTATCACTTCCTGTCAAATAGAAGGGGAAGAAATGGAGGGAGTGACAGATTTTATTTTCCTGGGCTCCAAGATCACCGCAGACGGGGACTGCAGCCAAGAAATTAAAAGACGCTTGCTCCTGGGGAGGAAAGCTATGGCAAATCTAGACAGCATACTAAAAATCAGAGACATCACCCTGCCAACAAAGGTGCGTACTGTCAAGGCGATGGTTTTCCCAGTTGCAATGTATGGCTGTGAAAGCTGGACCATAAGGAAGGCTGAGCGCCAAAGGATTGAGGCCTTTGGATTGTGGTGCTGGAGGAGACGCCTGCGAGTCCCTTGGATTGCAAGGTGATCAAACCTGTCAGTCCTAGAGGAGATCAACCCTGACTGCTCTTTGGAAGGCCAGATCCTGAAGATGAAACTCAAATGCTTTGGCCACCTAATGAGAAGGAAGGACTCCCTGGAGAAGAGCCTGATGCTGGGAGCGAAAGAAGGGGGCAGCAGAGGTTGAGGTGGCTGGATAGGGTCACTGGGGCGACGGGTGTGAGCTCAGGTGGACTCCAGGGGATGGTGGAGGACAGGAGAGCCTGGAGGAAGGTTGTCCACGGGCTCATGATGGTTTGAGCACAACTCTGCGACTAACAAGCGAAACGGGATGCGAGGGGGCTGCTGTGAGGCTCCTGGGCCTGCAGGGGGCGCTCCTTGTCCTGGCTGGCCAGGGCCAACAGGAAGTGCAAGGCCGAGAACATAGACTTTAAGGATAGACTGAACGCCTGGTTTTAGCCTTTTTTAAAACTCTGTGATGGTGAATTTTAAATGCTTTTTATGGAATCGTGACTCCCCATCGAGCTTCGACTAATGGATGGTTCAGAAGTTTAAACTCCTGCCCATAAACGTCCCCATTTGAACACTTCTGTGCTACCTGATATACAAAAAATCCCCCGTGGCTCTCCAGACGTGCAATGTAGAGGTGCAAGAACCGGGCAGAGGCTCGGTCCTCAAGGGTGCGAGGCCGTGCAGAAGAGCAAGCTCGGGTGCGGCTCCCAGCATGCCCCAGGCGGCTGGGCTTGCAGGGGAATGCTGGGAGGGGTAAGGCTTTATTAGGGGCGCGACCCCACGCGCGCGCAGACCGCGGTGGGGAGAGAGCCCTGCCGCCCCGAGCACCACGGATCGCCCTGGCCATTGCCCCGTTCACTGCCCGCACTGCAGGATTGCTCGATTCGTCAGGCGCCTCCAGCCCAACCTCAACGGGCGGCTCTTTCAGATTTTGCGCGCCGCCGTGGCGCAGAGCCTGGGGATCCCTCTGCCAGAGAGCAACCTCCGCCGCCGCCGCGACAATGGTGGGTGGCAGCCGGGCGGGGAAAGGGCGGGGGGGGGGTCCTGTGCGCCGCCCCTCCTTGCAGGGCCGCGCTCTGCACGCGCGCAAGGAGCTGCCGCCAGCGCCCCGCTGCAGGGGGGTCCCTTCCGCGCGCGCACGTGCGGGGCCCCGCGGCCGGCGGTGCGCGCGGGGGCCGCGCGGGGGCGCACGCGCTCGGCGGGAGGAGAAGCGGCCCGGGCGCTTCGCGGGTCTCCTCGGCTGCAAGCCCCTTGAAGTCCAGAGGGCTTTGCTGGCTGCGGGGGCGCTCAGGCGCAAGCCCGTCGCTTGGGACATTGCTCGCCCCCGGGAAGAGCCGCGCGAGCCTGGGCGTGCCCGCCCGCCCGCCTTACTCGGAAGTAAGGCCGCCTGTGCCCAGCGGCACTTACTCCCAGGTAAATGGGTCCTGGGTCGCCAGCCTGGCTGCAGGGTTGTACGGGTCCGCTTGGAAGTCAGCCTGCCACGACATTTATTTCCAGCTCTTGGTGTTGTTGTGTCTTAGTGCCTTTGTGTTGTTGCGGTTGTAAAGTTAAGCGTGCAGCGATTTGGAGCGGTGGGGCGTGGCCGCCTCCTTCACGCCCTTCCCAGAGGCAGCTGCTCCTTGATGGCTTGTTATTTAGTAATTTAGTTACCTTGCAAAGTGGCTGTTGCAGCAGTAATGCTAAGCAGTCAAAATTCCCACTCACTAAGATAAGGCACTTCGGGAACAGCACCGTATAACTGAAATGCTCGCACGTGATTATAAATTGGGGTTCACACCCCAAGTTCAGGCACAAGCTTGTTTATGAGCGATACCAAAATAAGAATAACCCACCTTTCTGGTTTTGCAAGTCTTTCATTAGAGTGCAGCTCTTTGGGAAGGAAAGGAGAAAGCCTCCATGTTTAAGAGCAGTCCACCTGGTCTGGTTGCCCAGGGCTCTTTGTATATGTTCCTTGGAAGGGGAAAGGTTTGTAGGATATTGTCTGCCAGGGTGTAATTAACATACTGAGCGTTGGAGGGCTGTTTCTGCCTAAACACACACAGAGTTTGTGCCTTCCGGAAAGACACACTTAGAAGTGTGTGTCTTGGCCTCAGGTCCATATCTGTTGCTTCCATTCATAAAATGCACATTCCTTGAGATAAGCTTTGGTGCATACAAAAGCTTTTAATAAATAAACACTGGCTTCGGCGAATGGGGCAGCATATAAATGTCTTAATAAATAAATAAATAAATTTTGGTGTATGTGTGGATTTCTTGACAGCCCCTTTCCTCATCCTGGTGTCTCCAGGTGGATTGGACTACAGCTCCCAGAATCCTCAGCAAGCAAGGATTCTGGGAGCTATAATCCAATCCATTGGGATGGCCACTCTCAGAAACAGGATTCTGGGCCAAAGTGATCTTTGCTCTGATTTGGGCCTGTCTTCCATGCTGAGAAAGGGTTGCTGATGGGAGGGCCAGCTGGACTCCAATTTGCAAAGCCGGAAAGGCCGGTCATTCATTTTGAAAGCACTCCTAAACAAGCATGCACCTGAACTTGGGGTGGGAAGCCCAATTTATAACCACATGCAAGCATTTCACACTTAAATGGTGCTGTTTTGGGTAGTTGGAAGGGCTTCATCCTCCTTAATGGTTCCATAAAAGAGGCCAGTATTCTTATGCCCATATTGCAGATGGGAAAGCTGAGGCTGAGCAGCTTGACTGGTCTAAGCAGGTTGGTGGAAATTGCAAGGTTAGGGGGCTCAAAGTGGCGCCTTAGTTGCTGTTTAGCCCGCAGACCTCGCCATGCCAGGAAATTTGCCGCGGTGCCAAAACCTCTGGATCCTGGCCCTGACTTGTCCGAGATGGGGATGCTGGGCCACTGTCTCACAAGGCTGCTTTGCTCCCCTCGCGCAGGCACGTGAATGCCAGCCCGCGGCTTGGGAGGAACCCTGGAGAGGCCTGGCGCCCATATGGATCTTGTCAGTTTTAATTGGGTGAAATATAGGGTGGTGGTGTGGGGGGAGATCCAGCTGCGCCCCACACACCCGCTGCAGTAGGGGGTCTCTCAGCCACCTTCCCACCCCTCTCCGTCCCCGCTTTGGAGCGGACGGGCGTGTTTGTGAGTGGTCTGGGGTGTTGGGGAAAGCATCCCTCCTGCTTGGCGGTCAGGGGGTCAGCGCCTCGGCGGGGGCCGGGCTGGGGTGCCGGCGGGGCCCGGCCTGTGGGACGGTGCCGGCGCACCGACAGCGTTTGGCTGCGGCAGGCTTTGGCTGTGGGGTTTCCGCCCAGCGGAGAGCCGCTTGCTCGAGCTGCCAGTTACCCGCTGCAGCTGTCCGGGCTGGTGGGGCGGAAAGAGGGCCCGGGAGGGTCTCCTTTCCCGGCGGGCCCCCTGCCAGGGCTGGATGGGGCAGGGCCGCAGCCACGCCAGGCCCCCACACGCTCACAGGCCCGGAGAAGGTTCAAAGGACCCGGTGGAAATTTCTTATGGAGTGTGAGAGAAATTGGATCTTGGCAAGGCATCCGTGGCAGCAGACGCTGCCAGACCGGACGGAGTCTTTTCCAAGCCCAGTTTGGGGAAGGGGTGTTGCGTGTGGGAGACAGCACAGAGGGTTTTGTGTGTATCTGTAGTATATTGATCTCGAAGCAAAGGCACAAGCACCCCCCCACACATACAATTGCCGACTGGAGGCACTGTTCCAGGTTGTGAGTTTGTTGTTTTCCAGATTAAAAAAAAGTAAGGCTTTAATATGCTGAGGAATAACTGCCAGGTTTCGGAAAGCCAGTTTTCATTCCCAGGGAAAGAAAATGAGCACATGGAGAGTATAATAGCTCTGCTTGCTGGACTGGTCCAAAGTCCAGTGCCTGGTTTTTGACAGCAGGCAGGCAAATCCTTCCAGGGAATACAAGTCCAGGACTTGTTGGCTTTCCCTGTTTGGCAATTGGAGGTAGACAGCCATTGGAAATGGAGGCTCTACTCCAGCTTCCAAGAAGGGCCACCACATGGGCATATTTCCTTTCTGTGAAATATGTCTGATTTTCTCCTGTCTGGCTTTGGATAAATACAGATGACCAGGGGCCAGATCAGCTGTGCACGTGTGGATCTGTAACCTTTGAAGAGACAATGCTATTTTCAGCCACAGTTTTGTTCAGGCTGGCGTAGAGCATGGGTGCAGAAAGTCTTTCAGCCCGAGAGCAGAGAAAGTCTTTCAGCCCGGGAGGAGAGATGCCAGAGATGTTCTCGTGCGCTGCCTCAAAGGAGGTGAAGCCTGAAAGAAAGCAGATTTCAGCTTTGTGTCCTCACTGATGGTGTAAGGGAGACATTTTGACTTTTCAGGATGGGGAAAAAGCCTGGCGGTTGGTAGCTGGCCTGAGCTTTTGTGGCCCTCTGTGCCATTGCTTGGCCGTTCAGAGAAGGCTGTGACTGCCCCCGTGGCCAGAAAGGCCGGCCGAATTACACCTGTTGCTAACCCCCATCTCTCCTTTCTCACGTGCAGGCCGAGGACGACGTGGCATCACTGGTCCACCGTTTCTACACCCTACAGACCGAGCGAGTTGAAGCTTACCACCTCTTTGAAGAGTGAGTCGGTGTGGCTCGAGGGGGTTGCGCTTTGCTGCCCGGTGATGGGAGAATGCCCTCCCCCTCACAGACACACACATTTGCCTGGGGAAGGCCCCAAACCCGGTCTCCAGCTGTGAGACTCGGTTGGAAAATATAGGCTGTGCCCAGTGATCCCGGGAGTCAGCCTTTCCTCCGAAAACAGCTGGATATTTCAGCCTGGCTATGCATGGTCCGGAGAAAGTGGAAAGAAACCTTTTCGTTCCTCTCTTCTAATTCCAGACCCCAGAGGGGCCATCCCACGAAGCTGATGGGTTGGAGATTCGGGACAGGGCCAAGGGGGAAATGTCTTCACCAGCTGCCAAGTCGAATTCCCGTCCACAGAATGGGTGGCTTTACGGGGCGACTGGAAACATGCATGGAAGAACAGAAGGCGATTAGTCCTTGTGGTTTTGTGCCCCTTCCAGGCTCAGAAACTCTGTGCCAATGTATACCACTTGCTGGGGAGCATGGGCAGGGGAGCCTGCCGCTGTTCCGTACAGCTTGGGGGTTCCCCTTGGGGTCAGTGGGAGAACCGAACGCCAGTCCCAGTCCAGTCCAGCACAGCCCTTGCTCCGGTGAAGCCCTGCTTGAGGACAGAACAAAATTATGCATTTTGAGCAGGCCGGGCGTCTTGCTTATCTCTGCAAGCCGCTGGATGGACTCGCGGGACGCTGGCCAGGAGATGCGCCGATCCTTGCAGCTCCCTTACCTCTACCCCGCACACCCACCGTATTTCCACGCCGATTTGTCCAACTGGGAAAGAAGCCCAGCAGGATGCCCCCCCCCCAACACACACACTCCCCCCCCCACCAACTTTGACTCCGGGTGCTTGATGAAGTCCAGATGAGAAGAAACGCATCGCTGCGGCACCTGTCTTTTATTTGCGCAGCAGTGGGGAGAGGGAGAGCTGTGTTTGTGGATAATTTACTTCTGGGGATTGAGAACCAAATGTCCGACCCCAGCACCCCCCCACGGCGCCAACCGAAAGGGCTTTTGCGCTGCAGGGGGCGTGGGGCAACACCCCCTCTCCGGTCCCGGCGGGCACCTCTCCAGGAGGGGAACCGTGGCTAATTCAATAACGCGCTCGGGGAAGCTGGCCCAGGGAGTTAATGCGCAAGGTCACGCCAGTGCGGAGTGTGTTTTCTGGTACGTGCGTCGTGAGTAGGTCAGCCGGTTTTGTCGAACGCCGTGGCGGCAAATGTCCATCTCTCACAAGGCTGTGTGTGGCACATTTCCCCAAATTTGACAAGAGGGGGCTTGTGTCTGCCTTTGTTACAGAGGTTTTGTTGAAAATTTGAAAAACTTAAGGAGGGGATCTCATGAGAGCATCCAGTCTGACCCCTGCCCCAATCAACGTCGAATCACCCTCACTCACGTGTGGAACTCAGTGTGGGGGTGTCAGTCATGAAGTAGGAGCAGGAGATCGAGTTTAAATGTCATGAAGCTCACTCAGTGACTTGGGCCAGTCCCTGCCTCTCAGCCTGACCTACCTCAAAGGGTTGTTGTGAGGATAAAAGGCAGGGGAGGATGCCCATGTAAACTGATGGTGGTTCCTTGCAAGAGGAAGATATGCTAAAAATGGAATAAAAAGCACTCAGTGAAGGTAAACGGCTGGCAAAGTTGTGGTCACATTTAACATGGATTTAAAAATAACTTACATCCCTTTATAAGGGCCCATTCAGAGCTGCATTTAAAAAGCTCAAAACCATGAAAGCGTGTGGAGATACAATAAAGGACAAAGCCAAGACGTAATTTCATTGTTTTATTCAGTGCTATTTTATGGCAGCAACAGGAACCTAAAAATAGCCATCATAAAAATGGCATTAAAGCCCTGGCAGCAGAAATTCCTTCAGAACAGCCAGCTGTGAAGTATAATTAAGTTTAAGATTTGTGTTATGCTTTTGACACCAAGTGCCACAGCGTCTTGTCTTAATCTTAACAACAATCTTATCAGGTAGGTCAGCATCATTATTCCCCATTTTGCAGGTGGGGAAGGTAGTGGCTGAAAAGTGGACCAGACTCTGGCCAGTGTAGTAAGTTCATGAGAGGGTGAAATTCAAACGGGGGGTTTTCTGATTCCCAGCACAGTCTGTCAGCCCCTCTGCTACACCAGAGAATGATGAAAAAAGGTCCATTGAAGCAGAAAAACCTACATTTGATGCCCCCAAATATGCTGAGAGCGAGGACTCAGTCACTGTCTGTTGCAAAGGCATCTCATGGTTTCTGGCCCCACCACCAGAAAGGCCGTGCGCTTTGTACCCACCTACCTGTGTCATTGGGACAGATGAAATAGTTAAGTTGCTAGTCCTCATGGGTTTGGAACAAGGGCTGATTTAAACTGGATCCCAGGAAGGGGCTTTGCTCCAGGTTAGGCCTTTGGTCCATCCAGCTGATTAGCAGTCGACCTTTGGTTTGGAAAGACTCTGAAGGACTAGCTACTTGATCTTTGCATAACTGCAGATCCCAAGAACTGGATGTAGGCATTCCGCAGTCACGGCGGTGGTTTTGACCTTCCTGGTTAGGACCAGGCAGCAGCTTATGGGGAATTCCTGGCTGTCCAAAGCCTCGGAACCTCAGCCATGGGCCAGATCCAGAGGGGCACAACACTCTCCGGCGAGTGCCGGTGCTCTGGCCGCTTCTCAGCTTTTCTGCCCTTTTGGCCCCGTTCTGGATGGCCAGGCCGAAGCATAAGGAAGGTGCCACGTTCCTACATTTGGCCCCTTGCAACGTGGCCCCCGAGAGCTTGTCCAGAAGAGGATTGTCCCGCTGGGTGGGAGAGGCCTGCGCCCCGTCTCGGTGCCTCACGGGCCACCAAACCTCTCGCCCTGCAGGGGCCACCGGGCTTACCTCCGAAGTGCCCCGAACTACGACTTCCCCCGCTACCGGCAGCTGGTGCACGAGATCACGGTGGCCTTCAGCGGCATCTCGCGGGACATCTTACAGATCAAGGAGAAGCTCGGCGGGCCCTCCGGCCGTGCAGACCTGGCGCAGCACCTTGCCCGCCTCCAGGAGAAGGAGAAGGAGAAGCTGGAGCTGGTAAGCTGGGGAGGGGCCGTGGGGTCGCTCCTCCCAGCCGGCACAGGGGTCGGGTGTGGGTGCTGACCGGGAATCCCAAATGGGCATTTATGGTGTAAGGAATTCCAGCGCCTCGAGGCAGAAGCGTGTTGTGTCGTCGAGTTGTGGGTTGCTGTTAAAATGTGGTTTATCGCTTTGTTCGAACCTGTCTGGGTAACAAACCCTGGTTAGCCAGCCGCTGTTCACAAACCAGCTTCTCTTCCTGGCCTGTTTGGGGTTAACAAGGCAGGAGTTGCTCATGTGGCTGGGTTCGGACTGCAAGAGAGCCTGTGCTTCACCCATGGTTCAGGAACAACCCCTGCTCAACCTCAGGCATTGGTTATTGTGCTGTCTGAACCCACCTGAGAGACCAAGCCATGGGGAGCAGCCCAACATTAAACCATGGGCTCTCTGCATGGGTTGTTGTTGATTAATCCCCATGGCCTCAATGCTTTTAACTTCAGTTCCCATCAGCCCCACGCAGGGCAAGGCGTGAACGCCAGGCGTTCCAGCCCCAAATTTCGAGAGGCGCCACAGTAAGCGAAATCTAGCATTTACGGCTCGCGTTTGCCCAAGGCGTCGGTCCCAGGGAATGTGTGGGGCGGTCAGGGACGCATCGGCCGGTCCGTCCCTCTCCGCTGGGGCCTCACCACCTCCTCCCCCGGCGTCCCTCCCCTCCAGACCGCGCAGCTGCAGCTGGCCAAGCAAAACGTCCAAGACCAGCCCGGTGAGGAAGCGCATGTGGAAGAGGTGCGGCAGCTGAAACACAGGTGCGTGATGTGCTCAGGTGGGCATGGGGTCGCCCAGCCCCATCGCGGGGGGCAGGACTCACTCTGGCTGCTAAGGAGCCGCTTTGGGGCAGGGTTCAGGGTAGGGGTGGGGGAGAACACCCCTGTGCCACCCATGCAGCCCCCCGTGGAGGGGTGGGTGACAGCGACTCGCGGCCTGGCCCAGAGTGATGGATTTCGTTCCTCTGGAGGGAGACGCCGTTTGGGGCCCTGCCTTTGAGAAGTATATGGCCGTTGGAGGAACACGGGAAAGGAAAAGTCAGGAGAAGCCCAAGGGAAGCTGGCCTGTGTGTGTGTGTGTGTGTGTGTGTGTGTGTGTGTGTGTGTGTGTGTGTGTGGTGGTGGTGGTGGTGGTGGTGGTGGTGGTGGTGGTGGTGGTGGAGGAAATGGGTGACACACCGTACACTTTAAGCAAGAATCGTGGAAAGGGGAGCATTCCGAAAGGGGGACCCTTATTCTGAACACACGAGATATCACGCAGCCCTCCTTCCCACCCCTGCTTTGGGGACCGCTTCCCATGATTCCCCTCGGGAGCACTGTGACTGAATTTCCCACAATGCACGGCTCAAAACCGTATCGGGAGGACTCCTGGTGCCAGGGGGTGTCTTCATGCGAAGGGGGCATGCAGTGCTGTGGAAACTGCTGTGGGGGGGCGCAGTCTCCATGCTTCCTGCCTCCACTGCAGCGCGGAGGGCGAGGGCTTGCAGATTGGCGAGGCGAAGACCTGGAAGGCACCCTCTCTCCCACCCACTGCGGTCGAGCTTTTTGGGTGGCGGGTTGGCCGGAGGCCTCGGGAGGGGTCCTCGGAGGCCGAGCCCCTTCCCCCGTGTGCATGGCCGTGTCTTCGGGATGGTGGGCTTCTCCCCTCCACCCCGTCCTGTCCCGTCCCACCGCTGGGTTGCCTCGCTCGTAGCATTTCATAAACAAGCACCAGGCCTGCGAGGGAGGCGGGCGGAGTGGGGCGCAGGCGAGCACGGCTAATAGGGTCCATATGCCGCTTTATTTATCATTTCCATCCGGCTCCCACAGGCTAATTCAAACCATTGAGACAATCAGCGAAATTCTCCAGGATTTCAAGTACGATTCGGAAGAGATTGGTTGACAGGACGTCCCGCGGGGGAAGCCGAGGCGCGGGGGGGGCTTCTGGCAACACTCGGCTCTCCCCTGCCTGCCTCCTGCCCGTCCCGGCTGCCTCCGTGCTGACCTGCGAGATCGCTGCCTTGCACGCAGGCCGATGCCCCGGTGAGGGGCTGAGCGGGAAGCCACACGCCCGACACAAGGCAGCCGGGTCCCGTTCTGCGCGATGCCCATCTGATGATTCTGCCCTGAGTCTGGACTCACATTCCAGGACAGAGGAAGGTGATGGGTTTTCTGTGTCCTGGAAAAAAAATATTTCACCAATCTACAAATCATGAATCAATAAAAAAAGCATATGTTCTTTCTCTTGCACATTTCTTTCTCGTGGACCAGGTTGGTCATGCTAGAACGTTCTTTATCGCAGCCCCGGGCCTGATCCGTCTTTCAGTAGGATGCGCAACTCTCAGGGAGAGGGTGTGTTCATGGAGATAATTCTGTGGAAGTCGATTGATTTAGCTTTCGCAAAATTGCCTTTTCTTTGACTTTGAGGCTCTTTTCTGTCTTTTCTCCAGCCTGTCTTTTCTTTGACCACAACAGGCAGGAGATAACAGCCAAACGGGCCCACGCCCCACATATCGGATCGGTATCGTTTCATTAGAAGTGTTCGAATCTCCCCATTGATAGCCCAAGCCCCCAAACATGGAGGTCCAGCTGGACAGCTTTCTTCCTGCCAAACCTGTTAGACCACAACCCCCAGTCCCACTGGCCACCAACTGGTCTAGCATATCTCTGCTTACTTTCTTCTCGAGTAGTTCTACCTACCATCCAGGAAAGCTAGATGGAACCTCTCTGGTCAGGAGCAGTCTATCTCGAAACACCAGATGCTGAGAGATGAATGGCAGTGGACAACTATTTATCCTAGAACTGGTAAACTGCTCCTCATCGGGGTATTGTGCAAGTTAAAGTGCCTATATATATATATTTTAGGTGTCTCTCAATCCAAACGGAGCCCTGCAAAAGCAGAGTCTGGAATTTAGTAACAAGTCAGGAAATGTTTGCCTCAGCAGTCACTGCTTGTTTGAACTTGGCTGGGGGGCATCAAAGGCCACCAAGTTGGTGTCACCATATTCTGGGCCCTTCTGCCTGTTTGCTCCGGTGCCCTCGGTTATGGAGCAGGAAAAGGTTCCGGGTCTAAAGTTAGTCTCATTTTATTGACTCTTGTCAGACCCTTGAACCCGGAGCACTAGAAACCAAGCTGCCGCCTGCCTTTCTCTTTTTGGGCCCCTAGGTCCTGGGTCTGGCCTGCTTTTTGCAATCTTAAATAAGGCCTCTATTCTCAAAAGGGTTCGGGGGAGAGGGGCGGAGGAAGATCATGTGCTCCAACACCAAACAATCAATCAACTGCGTATATGACAGGCTTGGAAAGACAAAACCACACATCAAGAATTTATTTTGAAAAGAACAGGCACGCAAACAAAGATTTCGAAACGCTGGGATCAGTTTCCTCTTCTCAGATTTTGGGGGTGAACTGAAATTTCGTTTTTCCTCGGCTTAACGGGAGGGGGGGATTGTCGCTGCTTTGTGCTGGGATGACCCAAATTTTTATTATTATATTATCATCATCACCACCATTATTAGAATTAGTTTCATTTCTATTCTGCCCCGTGCCAACGTTCTCTGGGCAGTTTAAGGCAATTTGAATGGGAATTTTGTGTGGGGGGAATAAATGCTTGATTCCAAATGTGGCGTTTTTACACACGGCCAAGCAGTGAGATGAGGAAAGCTGGGTCTCGAAGGGGAACCTGGCTGTGGTTTATTTGGGGGCAGGAAGCAGGGGCAGCTTGCCATCTTGCGGGGTTCTGTGGCCATCTGGTGCAAGATTCTGCCTCATCTTGCAGCCCCTTGGTTGTCCTCTCGACCGGAGAGCTGGGCACAGCATCCAGGCTGGCTGGAGGGATTCCCTTTGTCTTGCCATTGCATTTTGCTAGGATTTATCGCCGGATAGGACCTGAGAAGAGAGAAGGCTGAGTCAGCTGGATCCACACGTACCCCCTTGGATATAGCTTCTGCCCCGCTGCGGCTTGGACGAGCTGGAATCCCAGGTGTCTGTCTACAAGAGATGCTCAGCGGGGGCCGACTCCCATCCCTGGAGGTTTGGTGTGCACTGTAACTGGGCTTCAAACCACGCTAGCCGGCGGCGTGGGAACGGCTTCGGGCTCTGCCATTTGTCTCCTTTTATTTGGAGTTTACCTGAGCCAGGAATTCAGCTTTCAGAATTTCAGAATTAAGCGATGCAAAAGGCTTTAACAAAATCTTCAAGTCTGTTTCCCCACTTCCCAGCTAAGAAAACAGCTAAATAGTCACAGAAAAGGGTAAGGAGGCAGAACCCCTCTCGGCTCCCCTTTAAACCGAGTGCTGATCCAAGGCAGGGTTGGTCTAAATTCTCCTCGGTTCAGACATTCCACTTCCCTTTTCTCTTTTTAGAAACTAGCCCAGCCTTGCAAATGACCACATGAATCTAGTCCTCAACATTTTTCATTGTAGCACCCCATTCATTTTTTTTTATTTATTTATTTATTTATTTATTTATTTATTTATTTATTTATTTTATTTTATTTTATTAAAACATTTTAAATCACATTGAGAGAAAAAATTAACCTCTCTTCCAATGTACCCGATTTCTTGCTTGTTCCCCAGAGGCAAACAGGCGAGTGATCGCCTGGAGTGACTGAGCAGTTCGCCACAGATAACTAGTCCTGTTTACAAGCCCAAGCAAGCTACCCTTCTTCCTCCTCCCTCCAACCATTCAATGAGGAGAACACGGGAATCCTTACCTACCTGGTTCCGCGCTTTGTGTGACTTCTGCAGCGAGACACGCCACTGATCGTACATTTTAATGCTCAGGTTGGCGCATCCGTAGGAGCTGCCGTGTTTCCGCATCCACCCGAAGAACTGCTTGAGCTCTCGCCGCAGGGTATTGTTGTGTTCTCCAGTTTTCGGCTCACAGACACCCGGTGTTCGTCCTGGCAGGGGTGCAGGAGAGAGGAATAAAAAGTTACTGGTGCTCCCACAGATTCCATGAGATCTCCAATCAGCACGGCCAGACAATTTTGTATAGGAAATCGCACCGTCGGTTCCGTGTCTCCTGAACTAAGCTTGTAGCTATTCTGCTTCTGCTCATGGAAGTTTGTTTTTTCACTGAGCAAAAAATCTTGGCTGAGCAACCAGCAGGACTTGCTTCCAGCCAGGAATTGGTCAGGCTTGGTTGTCCTTGTGCATGTATCACATGGCAGTGAGTTCCACAAGTTAACTGGCATATCAGTCATCAGCCCAAATCCTTTATTGCCTTATTTGCAAAAAAGTTTGGGGGGCATCAAGGTCATTTACAGCATTTTACAACAATAAAACTTGAACGCATAGACTAGGTTTAGACAACACATTCAAAGCTTGAGTTTGGATTCTCATTAAAACATGGGTTCTTATGCTGTCCGAGTTAACAGCCATGCTTGTTAAAACTGCCATGTAATGGCGGTTACATTAACAAGCCAGTTTATTAACCATGATAATCCACACTCAAGGGCTGTGTTTATTGCTGAAATGTCTGAACCTAGCCATAATAACAACCCATGTGGAACAACCTACCGTTCATAGCCCCACAATACACCATGGTTTGGTCATGGTGCACAAACCATCATTTGCCAGACAACACAACAACCCATGGTTCAGCAACAACCTCAGCCCCCTCCTTCCATGGCAGCCCCTTCTGGCCCCCAAAAGCACAGCACAGAGGGGCAGGGAAATGTGCTGAGCTGTGGGGACACAGGATCCCCCAAAACCAGGCAGAGAGGCCCTCCTGGGAGCTGACTTTTGTGCTCGCAAGCCGTGTCCTTCTGGAGCAAGGCTGTAGAAACAAGGACCTTAAATAAGGGCAGGGTCCTACACATCTTGCGAGAAAGGCCCTCCAAGCACAGGCAGTGGGGACGATGTGAGCGAGGGCCCCGTTTCTGCCCACACGCACAGGCATCTTGTTCGGAAAGCAGAGCTAAGCAATATCATTCGGCACCCAATTTGATGCCTGTCCCAGTCAGGAAGAGGGCCCCGTGTTTGTCTTACGGGGTCTTTTTGAGGTGGGCTTTAAACCAGGGTGCCAGACAGGAGTGATTTCTTGCGGTCCGATCAGGGACACTCCTACGCCTGGCAGGTTGGAGGCATCTCTCAAGAAGCGCCTACGGTCTGGGACTGACTTTCACACAAATGACCTGCCAGCAGGTTTTCCTTTTTTAGTCAGAAATTCAGCATGCCTTTTCAATGTGTTGTGTCATTCGGGGGGGGGGGGGTTGTGGGAGTTTGTGGAGGGACCTTTGACATCCATCAATTGCTGTCCTGTGATTCTCTTCTATCCTTTTGGCGGTTTGGGTTACGTTTCAAATGGGCCAAGAGGTTTTCAAAAGTGCTGAATGACTGAGTGGCTTGCTGCAAGCTGCCCAGAACCTTTTGGAGATAAGCTGGAGAATAAAAGCTTAAAGTTGAAAAATCGAAATAATTATACGAACAAGCTCGGAAGCCCTTTTCCTCATTTTTGGGGTCAGAGGGGAAAAAATCTCATTCTTGCACTGTCTCTGACCATTTTGCAAGATTGCCTGCCTGCTTTCGTTTCCCAAAGCAGCTGGGCTTCCCACCAAGCCCGGTTCCTCCGTCAACAGGCAGGAATTAAGCATGCGTGCACCAAAAACTTGACTTTAAGTGAGTGGAGAGGGGACCAGGTCAGGTGTCCTAGAAGCAAACGTAAATGACATAATGTGTGAAGGCAGGCTCAGGAGGGGTGAGAGGCTGTTGCGGCGTTCAGGGCCAATTGCTCGTGGAGTTCCCAGCTGGGAAATAAGACCTCTCTCCAGCCTGGCTCCGGAACAAGAAATCCAGGTGCCAGGCATACAATAAGGTCAGGATCTCTCCAGAGGCGCTTGGTTTCCTTCCCTGAAGACGGCGCAAGTCTGCATTTGGCACGGAGTCGGTTTCTCCGGACGTCTGCTTGGATTTCTGACGGCGGCGGCGCAGCCCCACGCTGGAAGGTCGCCTGAGAAACCCGCCGGGAGGGGAGCCGCAAGCGCAGGCACCTGCGGAAGGAACCGGCCCTTCTTTTGGGGCCCTTCGGCACACCTCGCCGGCTCCTGGATGGAGGGGTTGGGACAACTCACCATTCCGAGGTGTGGAAGCGGCCGTCGGGTTGCTCCAGTCGCTCCAGACGCCGGCTTTCTTGGAACCGTAGATGCCAAAGGGGTTGCAGCGGACCTGGACAAAGTAAACCGTGCCAGGTCGCAGGCCGGCCAGGCGGCAAGAAGTTTGGTTGCCCATGTTGTCCACGACCTGTTGGAAGAAAGCAGATGACCTTTGGGTCTGGAAGGTGGGTTCAGCCTGGCAGGCTGGATCCATCGGAGCCAAAACAAAGATGAGGTGCCACACATGGTAATCCCACCGCTAGGCTTTCGGGGCACAACGGGGACGCTGTGCGTGGCTAGCTGTGTCGCATCCACTGACCTCAGGCCTGCGTCCTCCTACCCTGCAGAGGCCGAGCTTGCAAAATGAGCTTTCAGCACAGAAGGCCAGTCCTTCACGCTTTTAGCACGAGGCGCACGCCACCTTGCAAAGCAGGGTCCCCCAGCAGAAGTGAAAGTAGGGGGACCGCATCATGTGCTGTTTTCCCAGCTCTTGCATAACAGATGTTCTAAAAGGCTGAACTGGCTCTGCTAAAATGATGGGAGGTTTAAGTGAAAAGATGTAAGTAGTGTCTTTACCTTGGCTCCTCTAGTCAGTGGCCCCGAGGGCTTCTCCAGCAGGGAAAGCGGCCCCTGAGGTTCTGCACCCTTCCCCTGAATTTTGGGTGAGGGGAAGGCTGCTTCTCCCCCTTTATGTGCCACTCTGGACATGGTTTATGTTTTGCTTCCCCCACAGCAACCGACTCCAGGCCTGGGGTTTTTTCCCAGTCCAAAATAAGGAAGCAGCAGGAAAGGTTGGGGGGGAGGCAATGAGAAGGGAGGGAGGGAGGGAAGAGAAGAGGAAGATGACATGGAGTTGCAGAATGAATTCTTCACCACAGCAAACGCAGCTCACCTTCCACTCTGAGCTGTCCTCAACTCGGTATTGGATCTGGTATTTGGCCTGGAAGAGGAAGTCCTTGAGGGCCGGAGGTGCGCTCCAGCGGACGCTCAGCTGGTCCTCCAGGTCCCCAACGCGGCTCACGTGGACATCGGACGGTGGGTCGGTCGTGACTGCAGAGCAAAAGCGGTGGACGTGAGCATGTTTCGGAAAATGCCAACCAGGGGAGCCGTGAGGGAGCTGGGGTGAAAATGGGCCGCATCAGCCACCCCGAGCTTTCTTGGTGGATGTTTGGTGGCCAGAAAGGAAGGTTTTCCTGAGAGCTCACAGACCTCGTGCGCTGATGACATCGGTAGCCACAAAGCCAAATACACAGCCAGGATATTTGATGCTCGCCAAGCAAGGTGGCAACACGAGTCGCTGTGATCAAAGAGAATGGACTGGGTGGAACCGGTTGGGTCAAAAGCGTCTTTGTGTTGGAAGGCTGTGAGAGCTGGAGCCCAAACGCATGAGGAGCTTCTGCAACAGCAGAAAAAGTCACCTCGAACCCATGGCTGACGGCTTGTCCAAGAGAACAGGACTTCATGTGGGAAGAAGCGATCCTTTTCATAGAGGGTTGGAAGGGCCCATGAAGACAATGGGGTCGGACCCCCTGGATCATAGAATCGCTGAATAGGAAAGCGCAATGAAGGCCATTGGGTCCAACCGCCTGGATAATCTGATCATAGAAATACAGGATAGTGGGTTTGGAAGGGGCCATGGGGCTGTTGGGTCCAAACCCCTGGGTCACAGAATCATACAATATTAGAGATGGAAGGGGCCATGGGGCCATTGGGTTCCAATGCCCTGGATCATAAAACTGTAGAATCAGAGAACAGTACAATGGGAAGGGTCCATGAAGGTCACTAGGTCTGACCCCCTGGATCATATAATCGCAGAATAGGAGAGTTGGAAGGGGCCAAGAAGGTGATTGGGTCCAACTCCCTGGATTGTAGGATCATAGAATCAAAGAATCATAGAGTCAGAAGGGGCCATGAAGGCCATTGGGTCCAACCCCATGGATAATACGATCATAGAAACACAGGATAGTGGGTTTGGAAGGAGCCATGGGGCCATTGGGTTGCAATGCCTTGGGTCATAAAATTGCAGAATCATAGAATCGGAGAGCTGGAAGGGGCCCTGAAGGCCATCAAGTCCACCCCTCCGCTGTTGCAGGACACCAAGTTACACCATCCCACTCAGGTGGCTGCCCAGTTTCTTTCTGAATGTCTTTTGACATTCCACTTACACATTTCAAGAGAAGCACTATCATTTTGAGCTGCGCTTGGAAGCCTCCTGCCAGGCTGTGGGCAGAACAGGGACATGCTCCAGTTGGCAAGCATCCAGCGTTCAGGCTATAAGTGCCAGTCAACGCATAGCCAAACCGGTGCTTCTGGCACAAGGGGGAAGAGATCTGTGGCTGAGAGGGCACGCCTTGCTTTACAGAAGGATGTCAGATCTTTCAGAGGGGGAATCCTAAAGGTGGAGAAAAACGCCCAAGAAGGAATGGCCATTCTCATGGACCACAACTGCAACAGTTTGTTACAGCTTTTCTTTGTGCCCAGCTGGTTAAAGAACATCTCCAAACAAGACTCATATGGCAGAGATGAGGCAGGCAGTCTCCCCTGAGGGTGGCTGGCTTTTGCGGGGGGCGTGCGCCCGAAAGACCCGGTCTCTCCCTTGAAGCTGCAGACGCACCATTTGAACCGGATGGAGGCAAGGCGAGGACGGAGCGGGATTCCTGCAGGGGTGCAACACAATCCTCCTTGGAGGGTTCAGGTTGGGGTTAGGGTTGCCCCGTCAGGGTTCGTCGCCTGACACATGTGAATGCACCCAGGCCTGGCTGAATGAAAAGAGGGCAAACGAGTGGAGCGAGTGAACGAGAGGGGCAGCGGGCAGCCCCCTCTGTCTGGGCAGGGGCTTTGGTTGTCTTCTTGGCACTCTGTAATGCCAGGAGTCCAGGCCAGGGTTTGGCTCAGGGCTTCTGCCATAGACCTAACAAGAGTTTGGAAGTCTTGTCTTTGCCTTATACGGGAGAGGGCTCTCCACAGGCCCCCCCGCCCCCTCCCCTACACGGAGGGGCAGACCCCTCCATTTGCTGTCCCCTCTTGGCCAGCGTAGAGAGATTTGACTTTGGCGGGAGACCAGGCTGAAAGGGAAAGGGTAAAAAGGAACAGATGTGTGCAAAGGAACCTAAAAGCAGGTTGGGGGAGTGGGCAGGGGAGGAAAATACAGGAAAAATCTCCTAATTAGATTAAGCGCAATTCCACTGGATTTCCGGATTTCTTCCTCCCCTTTCGGATGCAACAGACCCCTGGCTCACCCCCCCCTCCCCCCCCCAGTCCCAAACCATTTCAGCTCATTTCCTGGCCAGGCCAAGGAGTCAATGGGGTACTCCTGTGATGTCACACCATGGAGCTGTGACCTCATAGCCCAACAATTCCAGAGGACAATAACAGCACTATTCATGTGTCTTCCAGAAAATGCAGAGAAGGTAAAGGGGAACTTTACCTTAATCTCTGGGATGCCTACACCCCCGCTGCATTTTTTTGGAAAGGAAAGGAAAAAAACCTTTTCCTAGAGATGGTTAAGAAATTGGCCTTGTTGAGATTTTAATGCTTATGCACCACTCCTTCTGCCAAGAAGGGGGTTGCCATGTGTTGGAAGGCGGAGAGAAGACACCAAAGAAGAACATGTGCGTATTAGTGGAACACACACAATGCGTGTGTTCGAAGCATGTGTGCAGGAAATGGCATTGGATCCATGGAAAGTACTGGGGGGGAAATAGGTCTTTTTTGAAAAATGCAAACAGAAATCTGCACAGTGTGAGTGTGTGGGAGAAGCACCCAAAATACATGAGTCACACAGATTCTGTAAGAAAAGCTCGCAACCTTAGGCAGGAACAGGACGAGATGAGCTTCAGTCGGAAAACCCTACAGTCTCAGCGAGAGCAAAATCAACAGATTGGTCTGTCCCCGTTGCAGAGAAGGAGAAAAACGCCACGTCTGTTCCGTGGCATGTGGAAAACCCAAAGGAAGCCTGCTGCTTCCTGGCTGGTGCATCCACAGAGGAGCGCTCAAGGAGCCTCTCCATTCAGGGGCAGTCTATCTCTTGGGCACAGATTCTGGGAGTGGACAGCTGCCGTGGGCATCGCTACCTCAGTTCTGCCGTGTGTGCGAAGCGAGGCAGAAAGTGGAGTTTTGACAGAGGACGTGGGTTCTCCACTCGTGGTGTTGTGATCCGCAGAGGTTCCCTTGGGCTTCTCCGGATGGGCTAGCAAGGAAGGGGGTGGGAGGGAATGATTCTTACCGACATCAACGATATCAAGCATGACCCGCTCCGATACAGCCCACCCGAGCCGATTGAAGGCTTCCACCCAGATCTCATAGGGTGTGAAAAGCGCCAAGTCCTTGGGAATGTGGCAAGAATATGGGCCAGCCGTGTGGTATTCCTGGCAAGCATTGTCACGGCCGTACCACCTAGGAAGAGATTTCGTCGTTATTACATCGCGTTACATTTCTGCACCGCCTGCTGCAGCCGGGCGGGAACATCCTTTAAGTCCCCCACCCAGATTTCAACCAGTCCCGATCCTACGTAGCTTTCATGATTATGCAGGATCAGGCGCTCCAGGCTGTATGGAAGCTCATCATCATCATCAAACTATCTATCCCATCCTTCTGTGCAAGCGCTCAGGACGGCTTACATAGCATAAAATAGTATAATAGTATAAAATACAAAAATAAAACCACAATTATTAAAAACAACTGAACATTATGAACTCAAGAAAAGGAAGGAAAAAATAGAAAATACAACTGTGAGAACCGAGAAAGAAATCTTAACTAAAACCCTTGATTATTCAAATGTTGGTTGAATAGAAAGGTCTTTACCTGGTGCTGGAAGGAGTATAATGCCAGCGCCAGGTGGACCTCTCTGGGGAGTGCATTCCATCATCATCATCATCATTATTACTACTATTATTCTATACTGTCCATCCATTGTACACTTCCCTACCTCAGTTTGTACTTAAGTGTATAGTTTGTGTGGAGGTACGTCTCTCCTTCTGTGCCAGGTGTCCACCTACAGGTGAGATCTTTCAGGTTCTTGGACCAACACGAGATGTTGGTTGGTTTTTCTGGTTTCACTGGAGGATGGAAACATGTGTCAGTAATCGGAGTGTGGAATTAGCAGGGAAACACAGCCTCCCCTCCACGCACTGAGAAACGAGAGCTGATCTGGTCTGGAAACGAAATAGCAACACGCCTCCAACTTCAGCCACACTATGATGTTCAAAGCTTGCCCTGTAGTTTTCCTTTGGGTAGTAACAATCGGGTCAGTGGACATAGGGGAAACTTTGGCCGTTCCCATCCAAAGTTTCCAAGTTTCTAGCAGTCTCACCGAGGGGATCTTAAAAATAGCCCGTGATAAACATCTTATGAATATTGATTCAGACAACCATGATTTCGCAAAGCGGTGCCAAAAGAGCTTTCATCTCTTGAAAAAGAGCTCTCGTCATTGGGTAGGGTGTGTTTGTGTGGAGGGGGATTTTCTGGTAAAACCTTCCCAAGACACTTTTTAAAAAATTGGCTAAAGGTCTTGGAGCCCCTGAGATGAAAAGGCAGAGATGCGATCATGAAAAGACGATGCATAAATAGTTTATGTTAGCACGGAAAGGACGCCAGCAGAAAAATATTCACGCTAGGTTGGTGAGACGAGAGGTGTTTACAAAGGTGGTTCAGTCGGGCCTGTCTAACCTCCGTGATCTCAGTATAACTTTTCACAGCAACAGTCACCCCCACCCCTGAAAGACCCCACCCCCTGCTGCTACACTCCCTAAATCAAGAGCAAGCGACCTTTCTGACATTTTGAAAAAAGTGTCCCAGGAGCCATCAGAAACTGGCATCGTGGTGTGGCCAGCTGCAAATTTGGGGAGCGTAAACCCCCAGATTGTCCCTTTCCTTGTCCCTCCCTTTCGATTCTCTGCTTGCCTTTTCTCTTTCCCACTTGCCTGGGCTCCTTAGCTTTGTTTGTCCTTTGGAGCAGAGCTTGGGGTCAGATAAATGGAGGGACCACCCAAGCCCCATCTGTGGAAGCACAAGACTTGCGAGCCGAGTCTCCGTTTGTGATGAATATCCATGGCACCGAACCTATTGGCTCCTGGACATGGTGCTGCTAATGAGTCTGTTTTGCATGTGTTTTACTACTTTGAACAAATTCTTTTGCTCATCACATGCTCTCCACAGCCTCTGCCCCCAAGTCGACCCAGAAATTCAATCAAATGCTCTTCCAAGTCTTGGCTATTTTAGAATGGGGATAGAGCAGGGGTCCTCAACCTACGGCCCGCGGGCAGGATCCGGCCCGCCATGCCCATTTATCTGGCCCGCCTCAGAGGTTTTGGACTCGCTTGGAGCAACGATCTCCGAGCGAGTCCAAAAGCTCTGAGCCAGCACAGGTGTACTCAGTTGAGAGAGGTCTGCGATTGCGCCCGTCTTCCCTGCTGGGGGGGTGGGTGGGTGGGCTGCGACCGTGATCACGCTCATGCAGGGAAGACGGGCGCGATCACGGTCATGCTATAGTCCGGCCCCTCGACAGCCTGAGGGACAGTGAACTGGCCCCCTGTTTAAAAAGCTCGAGGACCCCGGGATAGAGGAAAGGAAATATACAAAAGCAATCTGTGTTTGAGGAAACAGCGGACGTGGAAAGGAGGCCTCCAAGTAGGCCAGACTTGGTCTTCCAGCCTGAGGTTTAGCAGCCCTGCCCTGTACCAACAGCAAACTCTTCCAGTGCTGGTCCTGAGGCTAAGCCTAACTTCCACCCATGTGCAAAAGGACTGGCGTTTTCAGAAGGACACAAGTCCTTCTTTGCCGCCATGCCAACTGCAAACCACGCAGCCCATGGAAGACCAGACATGCCCCGAGGAAGTAGCAGCGGGGACAGAAAACTACCGGAGGGCTTTGAGGAAGGGTCTGACAGGCAGACCCAAACCAGGAGTGTTCATGAGCAACCGCGTGTGGCCATTTCCCCTTGTGGGAGGAGAGAAAAGCGGAGAGGAACGAGATGCAGGGAACCGCTCAGCAGACGTACGTCCTACAAAGAGACATGAGCCAGCCAAGATGACGCCGCCGTCTTTGCTATGGCAGAGCAAGTTGTCCCCCGATTGCTGCTGGGATCCATTCAGGTTTGAGAGGGTCACGCTCAGAGTGGTGGCCCCGACAACCTTGTAGGTCTCCCCTGGGAGCCGCCGGCCATTCAGGGTCCAGTAGAGATCCTCGGCTCTCAGGTTCGATTCGGTGCTGACCGAACAGTTGGCCGTGAGTGACGAGCCAATCAGCAGGGTGGGGTCTTGGGGGCTTATGGTGGCCGGGTCTGCAGAAGAAGGGAAGAAGAGAAGAGAAGGTCAGTCTCTTCCTTTGTGGAGCAGCTACATCCCCCAGACCATCTCTGGTCTGGCCACGAGGGGTGAAGTCTCTTGCAGCCGGAGGGCCGGACTCTGTGCCACAGAAGCTGCCATTGGCTGTGACCTGGTGGTGGGTCAGGCCAGAAGGAAAAGCGACCTGGTTCAAACTATCCATCATACAAGGTGTGCTTTGCCTAACGCTCTTCCTGCCTTTCGTTAGAATGGGGCAAGATGCACCAAAGCTGAGCCAGCAGCAAATGCGAAAGGGGGAGCTGCCGATGGGAGACCCCAGGGGGCCAGCATGGGACCCAGTCAAGCTGATTCGTGTCTGCATTCCCAAGACTTGATGCACTGGGAGCTTGCTCCTTCTAGAAGAGCACGGACCGGAACATGCAACCTTGGGATTGTTGTGGGACTCCCAGCTCCCAGCAGCCGAGCCGGCATGGCCAAGCACCAGGAACAATGGGAATACTTGCCGGGAAACATCTAGAAGGGCAAAGTGTGCCACAGAATTTGAAAAATCATAAGAAGCCAATGTTTATCCTATGTTTTGGACTTAGGGCAACAAAAAGGAGCTTGTTTTTTTAAGGGAGCTGAGTGATGCAAGTATTGCAGAGGGGACAGAAGCCTGCAGTTGCAGATAGGATGAGAGTTCTGAAATGAAGAATAAGACATGCAAAATGTTGTACTGTTAATGTTAGGGGTGTGCCATAGTTTGGGTGAACCCAGGCATAAAAATGTTTTAATAAATAAATAAATAAATAAATAAACTGACAGCGGCCCATTGTCTCAAGGATGGTGCAGAAACTGTTTGGGAGAGATCCATGGTGCTGAACCTATTTGGAGCCTAGGGTCCTATTTGGAGCCTAGGGCACCCTGGATGACTCTTGAACAGTTCAGACCAAAATCCTGAATCATGTTTGTTGCAAAAACCCCCTAAAAGCAAAGTGCTGCCTCTCAGGATCACAGAAACAGAGAAACAGAGCAAGTCAGAAGGGGCCATCTAGTCTGACCTCCAGCACCAGCCGGCTCCGCTCACGACATGCCCACCATGTGCATGTCCAGAAATGTCTTTTTGCCAGGATCCTGACCATCCCTTGCAGCCCTAGATGATGGCGAGAGATGTAAGGGGAGCCCCATGGATGTGAATGGTTCCACCCCACCAACAGGGAAATCTGACTCCCATCTCATGCGCTGGAGCCACACGCAAATACCCCACAGCAAGAAACCAAGGTTTCCACGGTGGGTCCCCCACCCCCCCGCACACACACACACTGCAAGGTAGACAGGAAAACCCGGAGAAATTAATTAGCTGAGTCTTTGACCCAAGGGGTTGGTAACGAAGGGCAGAAGCGAGGAGGATGCAGCAGGAGTGGTCCGGATGCTTGCTGAGCTACTGCCGTTATGAAAAGAAGGGTGCTCACAGCCAAGACTTGCTCGCTCAGGTTCGTCACTAGAAGTGGTGCCATGCCAGGCTCAGGCACGTGCTGGGGGTCTGGAGCTTGGCAAGACCCCCTGAATGTGCCCCTTTTCTTCCCCACTGCAACCTGCTTGTTCATGCCCTCCACTGGCTGTTGGGCCATCAATGGCTGTGATGGTGAGGAAGAGGAGGAGCAAGGCAGCTGGGGTCCGTGACGGGGAGAAGTTTGCCCTGTGGAGGCAGGGGGCTTGTGGAAGGCATCTGGGCTAAGAATTTCTGCCAGGAGGAACCAGCACAGATTCAAGCCACGTTTCCCCCTGGCCAGCAGATCGTTCTCCTTTTGGAAGCATCCATAGGTTGCCCATTAGAACCCAAGGAAGAGAGAAATGAGAAAGAAGACCACCAGACAGCGCCTGGCAGAAAAGGCGCTGCCGGCTGTCCCACCTTCCCCCTTGCTGAGACGTTTTGTTTTTCAAGAGTCGTTGTTGTCTCCGAATTTGGATCTGCACCAGGGGTGTTGAACTCATGCCAGCCCAAGGGCCGGATTCCCTCTGCGGCCATGTTCCAGTGGTGGGTGCCACCAGGGCAGGGCCAGAATTCGCAAACGGTCTGCATGTTTACAGCTCTTCCTGCCCGTAGCCAAGTCTTCGGGGAGTCCTTTCAGCCTCTTAGTATGGTGGGGAAGAACCACCCCAAACCTTGGAAGGCAACCGAGGCATCGTGGGTGAGAAGAGCAGCTGCGACTTGGGAGAAAGCCTGCGGCCACCTTGGCACTTCTACTGGGCCAGAGTGGGAGGCCAGAACCTCCGGGCTGAGCTTCTGTGCCCTGATCGAGTGCTATGCATTTGGCTGTGTGCATTTTAGGCCCTTTCATGCTCTCGTTTGTCATCTGTATCAGCAACACACTCGTGGCTCCGTTGTGGTTTCTTCCAAGACAGCCTAAGAGCGTCTCTCTCTCTCTCCCTCCCTCAGCCTCTCTCTCTCCTTTGAGTAAACCCCATGGCCTTTGCAGCATTAATTGGTCCTCTGGTGGGAAGGGAGGGAGAACAAAACCTAGCACATCTGGTACCATTCAGCCAAAGGCCAACCAAATATTAAGGTTAGCGGTTACCAACTCTTTGGTCTGCTGGGACAACAGAGGGCCTGGGGTCCAAGATTAATTCTGCACAGCAATCCCTCAGCTCATCAAGGGACCAGAGAATCGGTGCGCGTTGGTTGCTCACCCCATCTATTTCTTATTTTAGAGCTGATCTGGCCAGTTCTGCCGCATCTCATCAGAACAGCACTTTGCTGAGGTTGGAGAAATGCAGCTCTTTAGTAACGGGAAACAAAGACGAGAGAGGGAGGGTTGGGGTTTGGGGGAGGCAAAATTGTCGCTGCTTTAACCTCTTCTTGAGCAGGTTGGGAAGGGTTCAAAATGCTCGATTTCGCTTTCCCCTAAAGCGGCTCTTGAAAATTCAACAGCTCCCTTCCTGGGACGGTCTCCATAATGCTTGGCATCGTGATGTTTTTCCTCGGAGCCGACCACTGGGGCAACCGTTCCAGTGCCATGACAGTCGGGGTCATTTTCTGTGAAGCACTGCAGCAGCAGAAATGCATATTCACAATATTGGAATGAATATTTATGGTACATGATATTTATATATCACAAATCTGCTTGTGATATGTAGATGTGCATATTGTGGGTGCCGGCAGCACAACCAATACGAGTCCCTCTTTTTGTTTAGTGTTGCTTTTTTAATATTTATGGTAGTGGTTAGTTTAGGCCCCAGTGAGCATGTCTGGCTGGACAAAATACGGTATGTCATGAAGTTGAGACCGTGGCACCTGATGAATCCACCAACCACCTGCCCAGATACTCTTATGCCAATGTCCAAGTCTTTCCTCCGACTGCCAACTCTCCTATATTTTTATTTACTTATTTTATACTGATAATTTTAATTTTATATTTGTAACTCAATGTATTTTTTGTATTTTTGCATTTAATGGTAATTTATTATGTTCTATTGTATTTCAATGTATTTTATTGTGTTGTAAGCCGCCCCGAGGTTTCGGCAAGGGGCGGCATAGAAATGTTATAATAATAACAACAACAACAACAACAACTCCAAAGAGGCTCAGCTGGTGGCAAAAAGGAGAAGAGCCTTTTCGGTGACGGCACCCTTCTTGTGGAACAACCTCCCCAGCACAGCTCACGTGGTGCCACTTTCACTGTCCTTTCAGCACCAGGTTCAGGCTGCCTCTATAAACCAAAGCCTTTAAAAGCATTAAGTTGCACAGTGCCGCTCGACTTTATTTTTTTAACAGGTCTGGTGGTATAAACCGGTCCTAGTGCTTGACGTTGCTCTAATCTGGTGTTCACATTTGGTTTTCGATTTCTGCAGTGTGATTGTACAGTGTTTTGGTTGCTCTTTGATAAAATACAATAAAATATATTTTATTGTATTTTATGAAGGGTTGTAAATGACAGAGAGCTCAAGCTGTTGCAAGGAACAGAAATAAAACGCATGAGCCTGTGCAGCACCTTGCAGCCTATTTCCTGGGCCCAAGCAGAGTGCTCCGTGTCCCTTCCCTTCAGCAGGACAGCTCTCCTTAGCCCACAAGGGAGGCATCCGCAAAGCCAAGCTCTGCAGAGACGAGGGCTTCCCAAGGGACTGCTGGCTCCTCCATCGCCCTTCTGAACCCCACCCCTGGAGCAAATCGGGGCATCGTGCAAGCAGTTGTGGTTCACACCCTTGGCAGACCGGAGAGGCAAATTGCTTTTTGAGGAATAGGCCTTTCCTTCTGCACTCCACTCACCCCAGTGCGCGCTTTGTGGGCACAGACCCAAACATGTGTTTTAAAAGCGAAAGGTGTGACATTTTCAAATTGGAACGGAAAAGCAGGGGGAGTGGGAGGAGGGGAAAGAGGGCGAGAGGCCGGCATGTGGAGCACGGAGTCCCGTCCTGTATTTCTGCAGGAGGGTGTTATTGCTTTTTCCTTTTCAGGAAAGTGAGGGGACAAAACCTTTTACTGATCAGGTGTTAAGTAATGGTGGAAACTGAAACCACATTTCCGAGGTGTCGGAAACATTTCTTCTTTTCCTTTGAAACGGCTGGGCTTTATTGCACTTCTTTTCATTACTGGTGCTTTAAACAGCTGGCGTTGCGAAGGGAGACAGTGGCTGCTAAGGGAACCCGATCAAAAGTAATTGAAAGGGCCAGCTCAGACCCCTCCCCAGATCAGCATCAGGAGACAGCAGGCCAGGAGGGGGATGTGGAAACAGACAAATTGGTTTGACCTTGATGAAAGATAGAAAGGGAGGAAGCAACTGAGTGCTGTGCTCTTTCATTTTTTTCACGTGCAGAGAGCTGCTAGGGTCCTAAATTCGGAGTCTTAAAGTGAGTAGATTGGCGAAAGCACCGCCTGCCCTGTGTTCTGCAATTTTGTGTGATGGGCTTTCACACCCTTTTAGCTGGGGCATCTCACGGGCTGGTGGGCTGCCTTGGACCCTGGGCTCCCACCCCCACGGACCCCTTTCCCCCCCTGCAAGCCAACCTCGTGAAGTAG